GAAAAAAAAAAAAAAAAGATGGGAGAGCTAAATGGACATGTCTTTACAAATATCCAATAAGCACATAAAAAGATGGTAAACATCAATGGTTATTTGGGAAGTGAAAAATCAAAACCACTAAGAAATATCACTTCATACCCAATAAGATGGCTATAATAAAAAAGACATACAATAACAAAAGTATGGGTGAGGAGGCAGAACAATCTGGCAGTTCCTCAAAATGTTACATAGAGAGTTACCATATGATGTGGCAATTCTACTCTTAAGAATGTGTGTATGTATGTGTGTATATATATATATTTATATATATACATATATATACACACATACATACACACACATATACCCACACAAAAACTTGCATGCAAATGTTCATAACAGCCTTATTAACACCAGTCAAAAAGTAGAAGCAACCCAAATGTCTATCAACTGATAAATGCATAAAATGTGGTATATCCATTCAATGGAAGATTTTTTTTTCTGCCATAAAAAAGGAATGAAGTACTGATACATGCTACATCAATGAACCCTGAAAACATTATGCTAAGAGAAAGAATCCAGTCACAAAGGACCACATAGTGTATGATTCTATCTACAGAATATGAAAAACCCACAACAGGCAACTCTATCATAGAGACAGAAAGGAGATTCGTGGTTGCCTGGAGCTGGGGAGAGTGGGAAGAATGGGAGAGACTGTGAGCCAGCACAGGATTTCTTTCTGGGGGTAATAAAAATGTTCTAAAATTAGATTGTGGCTGTGGTTACACATGTCTGTGAATATGCTAAAAAACCTTTAAACTGTGTACTTTAAATGGGCAAATTGTGTCATATGTGAATTGTATCTCAATAAAGCTTTTTAAAATAAATAAATAAATACATATTTGCCACGTTAAAAAAACAAAAAATTGATACTGGTTCTTACCCCTACTCATGTATAGCAAACTGCATATAAAGCCTGCCTTGATCAGTTTCCCTTCCACCCCCACGCCCCTGTAATAACAGCACTGATACATATAGTCAAGGGAAGGAAACAGCAATACGGAGAAAAGGGGGCCTGACAATTCCTGACCCCATGGCTGAAGTGACCAGCACATCAGGAGCTAAGAGAAGAAACATTAACAACCCCAGAGTGTAGGAGTGCTTGTCAGTGCTGGATGCTAACAGAAAAATCTCCCAATTCCTTGCCTTCTCTTTCACCTAAGAATGCAACTTCATCTCCACCTTTAAAAGAACATCCCAGTTGTCAACTCTTCTATGAAGCCTTTCTGAGCCCATAAACCCCACCCCAAATAATCTTTCCCTCCCCTCCAGGTTTCCATAGCATTCTCTGCTCAGAGTGTCTAATTAAATGCTTATGTGTAACTGTCCCCTTCTCTCTCATTAAATTATACAAGTACCTCAAGGGCAATGCTCTTCTCCATCACTGAACCCCTTATTCAAACAAGGCACTGTATAAGGTTCTCAGTAAAGAGGCACTGAATAGAATTAGGGGTTGGGGTAAACAACTTCCAACATTCTTGGCAGTTAAGGGAAGTCAGCTCTTTCCCTGCTGGCTTTCCTGTCTTACTAACCAATTAAATTTCTGTTGTCGTTGTTGCTTTCTATCCATCACACCATCTCCCCCATCCTGTCCTAGGGAAAAAAGAAAACACATCAAACCATAGATAAACAGTCCACATCTGTGGGTAAAGCTTCCAGCTGGCAGCAACTCAGAAAAAGTCAGTCATCTCACCCACCCACTCATCTGCATCTGAAGGAGAAAACAGATGGGTCTCTCTTTTGCTGCTGCCTCAAACTAATACAGGCCTGGGGCATGCTCTGCGCCCAGGGTCTCACCCAGCCTACTTCACTCTGAATCACTCAACTGTGCTTGAAAAACCAGATACCCTCCCTAGCTGGCAGAATTCCTACGGGGCCTCAGCTTGCTTCTGATCTCTTGGAGAAGGAACACAGGCTCGAGTGTGCAGGCCTGTGTATTTGCACGTTTGGGGTATTTGTAGCCTTTGGAACAGTTAGAAAAAGCAAAGTTAGTTCCACTTTTTACACAATGTTCTGCCAACCCCTCAGCCTGTCCAAGGAAGCCGGTGTAAGAGACTGGATTAAGGTACATTTCAGAATCTTTCCCCCACCTCTAGCCCCATTGTCCCTATGAGTCTGGTAGCTGGGATATTAGAGAGCAAAAATGCTCAGAACCTGAGAAGTAACCACAGCCAATATTAAATCCCAGCAACAGCTTCCTTAAGAAAACGAAAAGCAAATGAAGAGTAAGCACGCCCTGTATCTATATGCAGTTGAACAGTCTTGTCCAGTGCTGGTGCCCGTCCTTCTCCATAGTCCAACACCGCTCCACAGCTGCAGAGGCACTGAGGCACCACCTCTTGAGTTCACAGTTCTCTGCCCCTCTCTTCCACAGCACTGCACTGGAGATTCACACTTCCTAGATACAGCCACACAGCCACACAGCCAGGACAGAGAGACCCACCGCTCACTGAGAGCAGCTCTGCTCTGCCGTTCAACGAGTAACCACCCACACAGAGCAAATAGTAGCTTTTCAGAAGAAGCATTCTAGGCAGTAGGGACTCTATGCAGCTCCTGTAGAAAGGATTTTAACGCCTGACTTCGAGAATGCTTATCTGCAGTGAGGCCTTTTTTATCCACCAGGACAAAATGATTTTCAGAAAACAAAAAGCAACTGACTTTTCTATGAAAGCCTCTAGTCCAACTGACAAGCAGGTTTCAGAGAATTCTGGAGCAGAGATAACTTTTCCTATATGTTTTCAAAAGGCGAGTTGTTCCCACTGCCACTGTTGGTCAACAGGAAAGGCCATGAGGTTCGTGGTCATGGCCCACAGAATCCCAGCTGCCCAGGATTTGACAGGCTGCTAGGCGTGACCCTTAAACACAGCCCCTCCCACCAGACCCTTCTTCTGAAGCATGTGAGAGAATGGGGTGAGGGCAGTCATGGGGAGAGCCCTCTCTCTGGCAGCTCCCACAGGCACAAACCACAACAGAGGGTCCTGCATCCTGCTCCACTAAGCCACCTGGTTTCCATGCCACTGGATATGGGACAGAGCTGGGGTTACCTACATCTCAGGTGTAAGGAGATGCTCTGAAGTTAAAGGGAACGACCTGGAGATAACAAAAGGTTCTGCTCGATGGGGTCCCTACAGTCATTACATGGCAGCTTTTAAATATGCTGCGGATGGTTTTTCTGCTGAATAGTGACTTTTCCCAAGAAAAGACCAGCTGACCTCTGCTCCAAAAATGAAGTTACTACATTCAGTTACTTAGGTAGCAGGACACAGAGAACCAGGCTAGCTGCACTGTCAGGAGATGGGGTCCCAGGCCCAGTTCAGACAAGATCTCACCATGGGCAGGTCACTGACCTCTTTTTCATCTGAGAAGTAAGGCTATCACTTGCTTTTACTATATGCCAAATATGTCCTGGGGCTCAAACATTAGGTGACGGGGCTTTACAGTATCTAAACACTTCACAAACCTAAGATACAGTTGTACTGTACAAGCTCACAGAGTGCAGTAAGGCCACTGAACCCAAGGAGCAGCAGGCTTGGCCGGCAGTGCCCAGCTCCCTGTGCATGATCTCATTGGCTCTTCACAGGGCTGTGCTTAAGACTGAGGGGACCAGGAAGCCCCTGATCAGTAGATGTTTAACAAGGACAGTGTCTTCTAGTGCCCCAGCACTTCTGCAAGTCATGGAAAAAGGTCATTAATTAAAGTTAGAAAAAAACAAAGTAATGGTTTATTTTAGATTTCCAACTAAAGATAGAAGGAGATCATATTACAGCAGAATTTGAAATGAGGACTTTGCTGAAAAGAGGTAGCATGGCATCCTGCCTGAGGCAAGGTGCTTGGAGTCCTATGATATGGATGGAACCCCAGCTCTTACATAAGAGCACAGTGGGCCGGGCGCGGTGGCTCAAGCCTGTAATCCCAGCACTTTGGGAGGCCGAGGCGGGTGGATCACGAGGTCAAGAGATCAAGACCATCCTGGTCAACACGGTGAAACCCCGTCTCTACTAAAAATACAAAAACATTAGCTGGGCATGGTGGTGCGTGCCTGTAATCCCAGCTACGCAGGAAGCTGAGGCAGGAGAATTGCCTGAACCCAGGAGGCGGAGGTTGCGGTGAGCCGAGATC